TGAGCAGTCATTACCAAAATAAGTAATTCGTGCAGTAAACTGTGGGGTGGTCTCATATATTGCACCATTCAAAAAAGCATCAGAGCAGAAGGCGTTACCTGCCCATATATGCTGTTACAGCACTGATCACCTGCAGAGCTAATGGCAGACGTTTCCCCTCCCAAATGGATGCAGCTTTACCTGTATAAGGTGCATATAATCATATACAGCCTAGCCCCGTTTAGAAGGAATAACCTGTGCCAGTACAATGCATTTTGACACCCAAAAAAGTACATCTGTTCTGGAGGGGCTTTGAAACCATAGAGCTGTTTTGACAACAAAACTCCTAAGCTGACAGCTGTACCGTTAATTCATCTGATACTTTTGACTTTTTTTCCTGCAACACAATTACGCTTTTTTGTTGAACACCATTACCCCCATCTGCAGCCAGACTCTTTATATGAAAATATCTGCTTCAAATGAATTATGCTGCTTTGTGTTGCAATTCTAGGCTATTCGGAAATATACTCATTTAGAAGGGAAACTGTGTATTTATGGTTGAAAGTATTCTGTTAAATGGAAATGTCCCAAGGATTTTATGTCATCTTTTAAGTTCAGCCATGAATGGGGGGAAAAAGAAACACCCACATTGGTCAAACAGATCTTTGTCACTTCTAACTTCACTATGACGCTTTTTATTTATAGAAAGGCTGCTTTCTGTTGGTACCTGTGGATGGAGGACGCCCTTCCAGTTACTTGTAATTTGAGTTCTGCTAACATACGGTTGCTAACTCTGGTGATGACTACTTTGGGGGAAGGTTTATTAGGGGGTTTTGTTACCTTTTTTTCCTTAGGAGCGACTCAAATGCCAATTCCACTGAAGCCGAGTCTGGTGGAAATCCACCTTTGCGAGTGCTGTGGCTCAAAACGAGCATCGGAGACAAGGGCAGAAACATGTAACATCACTTGGGATCAGCCCGAGTGCTGCCGCGTCCTGCCCGGCCTTACCTTGAGGAGCCACCACCTCCCGTAGGGAGAGGCCTCTGTCTGCTGCCCGGTAGCTGACGGCGAGTTCCGCTGTAGACTAGCCCGCTGAACCCCACCTTGATGAAGCAAGGCATAATTCGGCCAGGTACCTGTCTGTATCAGTTCCCGACTATTGACACGTTTGCACTTTGGGACAGGTGGTGAATTATGCTCAGTGCCAAGTTTATTCAAAGCAAAGGAAATGGATGTTAGAAAATCACAAACAAAGCGTAATTTTCCCTTTACTCAAGGGAAAAGTATGCTTTGGAATCGACTCGCAAGGTGAAAACAGTGGAACCGGGGACACGGGGAAGATGGGAATGATTTAATTGACTCATTTTGCTGGCGGAAATGTCATCACCATCGCAGATACAAAGCATATTTGCCACATTAACATTTGAAAATAATGTTTTTGAATAAAGTTAACTGCCTAATGTTATGACTTCCACTAAATATGTGAATTTGCTGCTTCTAAGAGGCAATGTGAAAGAGGAAGTATTACTTTTGTGTACAAAGTTATTTATTTATTAGAAAATTTGGTACAATGTTGTACATTGAAAAACATGTAAGATATTGAAGTGTCTAACAAATGGCATTGAAGTGTCTTTAATAAAGGTTCATTTATAATATTACAGCTGTTTTGTTGAGAGTGAGCTTTTGGGAGTTTCAGTTGAAAATTAAATAAAATTCTAATCTGTTGCTATATTCTTTTCTGTCTTTCTCTGACGAAAATGCAGACTAACTGCCAAAATACCCGCTTGTGAAATTAGACCCACGACTTTAACATTAGATACTGTAGTTCAGCATGAGACTCTGGCAGCCTGACTTGCGGATGGGGTGGAATTGGGGGCCGTATTGGAAGACACAATAAGGAACTCATGAGAAATACATTTCTAATACATCAGCTTGGTTAAGTATCTGGCGAGTACCCTCATCTTGGCACTGAAAACAGAACAGATGGGGTGTGTGCGTGTGTGTGTAAGTATGCAAGAAAAAGGGGCCAGGATAGCACCAGACTCGGCTGCAGTTGTGTGCACCTCTGGCCTTCTCAAACCAAACCCCACCCTGTATGGAAATGCCACAGGCAGCTTTGGAGATAAGCTTCAATTCTTGTTTTAACTAAAAATCTCAATTCAGTTTATGTATAGTCAAAAAAAAAAAAAAAAAAAAAGTATTTCCTGCTCCAAATTATAACTTTGGGTATAAAGCACATTTTCTGAGACTACTCTGATAAATCCCTTAACACACGTAGGAGTTAAAATATTTTAAAATGGTGAAGAAACAGCCTTTAAGAGGCTGGTGCCTGGCCTGAGATTCAAGTTTTGTTACTCCACATTATCCCAGTAATGGAATAAAATGAATTTTTCAAGTTTCGGTAAACTTGAAATAAAATGTCACTAAAATGTCAAGGCAAACGGGCAGTATGGGAAAAACAAACACATTTTTAGGTCTTTCCCCCCCGCCCCCATAATCCCATGCCTGACAGTGTCATTTAAAAAAATAGACAAATGGGTGTGTGCAGCATGGCCCCTGGCTGCCCAGCAGGGCTCCCACTTGCCTGCTGCCGTTCCCGGGTGACCTTGTCCTTCCCGCGGCGGTCGGGGGTGTGGAGCCAGTCCATCCGGCACATAGGAAGGGGAAGGAAGCACTTGGGGTCCGGCTCTCCCCTCCCATTTTTAAATAAAAGCAGTGATGACAAAAAATGATTATGCAAATATTAAGTAAAAACAACAACAATCCAGCATTTGGACCCAACGACTTACAAGACATGATTATTTTCAGCTCAAGTAATTAAATGCACCAACTGCAGTGCTAACCCTCTTCTCATGTTTAAAGAGCTTTAATAGAAAATATGTTAGCTTTTAAGACAGACTAATAAAATCTCCCCCATCCCAAATGTCCCGCAAATTGGTTCTGCTATATATAAACATCATAAAAGAGACAACCTTAAAAGTGGCAGGGAGCACGG